CTGTTCTTGAAGCTTCAGCAGGTTCGGCTGTTCTTGAAGCTTCAGCAGGTTCGGCTGTTCTCAGTGCTCAGTTCTCAACACAAACTGCTGAAGATGCTCCTTGTTGATCGTGACTCACTTCCTGCTGAATCAGGAGGAGGCGCGCGGCTCCTCGCCTCCTCGCCTCCTCCTCAGAGGAGAGAAGACTTTAAGAAATGTTTTCCAAGTGACGTTAGTTTTTTATTCACCTGTTGTCTCATGCTCCTCCTCCCAGCTCTGAGCACTCCCTCTAAAATAAAAAAACTTGTTTCTAAAACTTAAATTTGAACAAACCCTCAAAGAAAAGGTTTCCTCCAATAAACTTAAATTTAAACATTTTCTGTCGTTCATCCTGAAACTGAAATAAATCCCTTGATTCACTTTAAAAGCCATAACTCCCATGATTCCTCATATTTAACACGTTTAGCCTCACTGACCTTTGACCTTTTGACCTCAACAAGCACAAAACCACATGCACTAAAACTTTTGCACAGAGCGAGGTGTTGAACTTCATTTGATCTCCAATAAATCTGTTTCTACTCTGTTTGTTGTCCACTTCTTATTCAAGGAGCTTCAGGTCTAGACCTGTAGGGGTGCCGTCCACCTGGACCCAGGTCCTAAGTCCACCTGGACCCAGGTTCTTTAGGTCCTCATTCAGCAAGACCCAGGTCCTTGAGTTCCAGCTGGACCCAGGTCCTATAATTCCACCTGGACCCAGGTTCTTTAGATCCTGGTCCAGGTGGACTTCGGTCCTCTAGGTCCTGGTCCAGCTGGACCCAGGTCCTTTAGGTCCTGGTCCAGCAGGACCCAGGTCCTGGTCCACAGGACATTCTGAAGATGGAAGTCATAAACGGGGCTTGTTTGAAAAAGTACCTGTGGTTTCTCCGACGTGCTCTATGGTCACTCTGAAGTGTGAGGTCATCGGTGCCGAGCAGGACCTGGATCCAGTGGTGAAAACCTACTCAAGCTCCGGTAGGTGTTTCATTCTTCTCCTTCCTGACAGGTGCGAAGGTTGAACCAGTTTGGTTCCTGCAGTCAGGTGATCACTGGTGTCTCCATGCAAATGGCAGCACCTCGGAAGTGTCTCTATCTCCATTAACGTGGCCCGAACCACGTCTGCCCCCACAGAAGTTCTATCAAAACGACCGGCCCGGCTCCGAGATGTGTGCTATTACTTTTATTTTTATTTTATTGGTAATTGGAGTTACCATGGTGACAAATTTTGCTAACAAAGAGGCCAAATTTCCCATAGGAAATGAATGGGAGAAAACTTTTCACAGAAACTGAGTAACGTCTGGAGCCATTTTGGTTCAACATGCAAGGCAGCGCATAATGCAGGTAATGTAGCCAATTACCCTGATAGTCCTAAGGTAGCTAATTAGCCTAAGGTAGCTAATTAGCCTACGGCAATGCATCAGAAAATTAACCTGCCATTTTGATTCAAGATGGCTGCCATAGCTACCTCAGCAAACATAAAATTGACTATAACTCCGTCATTCTTTGACGTAATAAAGTAAGATTGTAGCTGAGAGCGAGTTGTAATACATTCCTAATGAAAATCAAAAGTCCAAGATGGCCGCCTTAACTAAAAAAGAAAAAATACAATAACTCGCCATTTTAAGAAATATTGAGCTGAAATTTGCCGTATTGGGAGCTGCAATTGATCTCTAATAGATTCTGATTGAAAATCAAAAATCCAAGATGGCTGACAAAACAAAAAAGGAAAAATACTATAAATCAGTCAATTTTAGTGATATTGAGCTGAAACTTGGTGTGGTGATAGCTGAGAAGGTTTCCTATCAAATGCTGTGCCAAAATCAAAAATCCAAGATGGCCGCCTTAGCCAAAAGAGAAAAAATGCCATAACTCTGCCATCTTTTCAGCGATTCAGCTGAAATTTGGTATAGCAGCTGAGAGCGAACCCAAACACCTTTTAGTGTCAAATCAAGAATTTAAATCGTCAGCAGACTGGAACCCCCCGTCAAAGTTTCTCCAGGAACTGTCTAGTTAACGACTGTTCTCCAACGATTGTACTAAACCCAAACTGAACACGTGATCTGGAGCGTTCTCTTTTTAAATAAAAGACAATAAAACCTTCCAAACGAGGAGAACTGAGTGAAAGGGCAGTAGATGATGAAGAGTCGGCTCCTCCTCCTCACGTTCTGCTCCCTCACTTCCATGAAGCTTTGACCTTCATCTGACCCCGTCATAGAAGTTCACATTAACAAACGGATAAATCACCAAACTCTGCATGAAGACGACAGGACCTGGGGACATTCAGAGGACCTTCAGCTCCGTCATGATCAGAATCCAGCAGTCCTCACTTCCTGAGATCCAGCTGTTGGTTCTGGTTCTGGTGCAATACCCATTAGATCCACAATGTCCATCATCTTTACTCACTTCATACATACTTCATCACAGGGACACCTGGACAGGTCTCCAGTCCATCACAGGGACACCTGGACGGGTCTCCAGTCCATCACAGGGACACCTAGTCCGGTCTCCAGTCCATCACAGGGACACCTGGACTGGTCTGCAGTCCATCACAAGGACACCTGGACAGGTCTTAGATCATCACAAGGACACCTGGACAGGTCTTAGTTCATCACAAAGACACCTGGACAGGTCTTAGTTCATCACAAGGACACCTGGACAGGTCTTAGTTCATCACAAGGACACATAAGGACATTTCAGAGTTACCAGTCAGCCTAACATGCATGTGCTTGGTCTGTGGGAGGAAACCGGAGTACCTGGAGAAAACCCACGCAGCACGGAGAGAACATGCAAACTCCACCCAGAAAGACCTCCAGCTGGGATTTGTCCTGATGACCTTTTCGTTGAGAGGTGATGGTTCTGCCCACTGATCCACCATGCCGCTTAGATCCGTAACGTGGTTGAAGTTTTTTTCAAACTCCACCAAGTCTTCTGATTCCATTTTCACGGATGAACAGCTGGACTGTACTACAGCGGTCTGTCACAGCTGGCACTGATGATGTCATCAACCGGGGACAGTTCTCTGACCACACAGTCGGCCCATTCCTGAAAGTTTACACTAAAACAAAAGCAACAAGTCATCAAAGGGTTAAATATGAGAAATGGGCCAATGGGATTTTTAAATACGTTATGCTAATAGAGAAACAAGATCATTTACATTTTTATCATTAATTTAATTTAACCAGATTCAGGATTTGGACTGTGGACAGTCCTGCAGGTCCTGCAGACCCCCAGGTCCAGCAGGCTTCAGTAAAACCCGAGCTCTGAGCTGTAAAGTTTTCCCACGCGGTCCATCTGGTTTGTCCCGGTCAAAGTGTGCACGGTCCTCTGACGACTGAGATAAAGCGGCTGAGGGGACGAAGGTCATGTTCAAAGGTGGTGTTGAGGAGAACCTGCAGGAGCTGAAGTCTGTAAACTGTCCCTTCACACCACGAGCACTGCTTCTTGTTTGTTTGCTGTCATGTTCCTCCTCAGACACATGCTGCTGCTCCGTTACCTCCTCCTGTCGACCGCTGTGGTTCTCCTCCTCTTCGTCAGCTCCTTCTGGCTCCGTGAGTTTCCCTCGTTACTCTGAGCAGGCGGCCATGTTGTCTCCTCCTCCACAGGTTAGATATTAACAGGAGGTTTAACGGGCTGGCTGGGTCTAGTTTCAGGTCTTTGTTCTGGGTCTTAGGACTGATTGGATCAAACTGAACATTATTATTGTTATTATCATGATTATTATTATTATTTCTTTGGACAGTTTTCTTCACAGAAATCATTTAAATCTTAAACTCAGACACATCATTTATAAGAACAAGTTTGACTTGAACTGAATCTCATCCTAATCCCAACATCTGGTTGGACAGTCGATCCGTTCCTTTATATTAAAACAGTTCAGTCTCATTGAAACAGCCTCTGGATGGTCTTCACATCTGGAGTCAGAGTCATCTCCAGCTGTCTTCCTGCTTTCAGCTCAGTGGGACCTCAGAGACTGCGGCTCCGCCTGGCAGCCATGTTTGACCTCTTCCCGCCAAACGGTACGACTAACACACACACACACACACACACACACATTTATACATGAATCCACAGTTGTTGTTTTTTTAAGTATTTGTATTTTTATGAGTTTCTTTAATATTTTACATCTCAGTACATGACAACATTTTAAACGTGCTCATACTAAAGCGGGGCTATTCAACTAATATCCACAGGGGCCGGTCATCCAGCAGTTATTCTCATTAACTGAGTTTGTTTTACGATTAAAAACGAGTTTTATTTAAAAATGAACCCAATGGTGGGCCGAACTGAGCTCACACGTGGGCCTGATTTGGCGCCCCGGGCCACAAGTTGAACAGCCCTGTCCTACAGTGTCTCTAATATTCCTGTTCCCATGTCACGTGTTAGTTTGTCAATAAAAACACTAAAGTTTTAGCATCATTGAACACATTAACTGTTTTCTTTTCTTTTATGTTTCTCTTATAATTTTTGCTTAAGAGATAGAAAGAAATATTTAAAAGCCATAAACTTTTAAAATTAAGAGTAAACTGTAATAAAAATAATAATTTAATACTCATTATTACTGTCGATGTTCTTTCAGCCTCTGGATGCATTGGTCCCAATAGAGTGGGCGGAGCCAGAAGAAGCCCCGCCTTTCATTAAAGAGTGTCCCGGCCAGACCTTTCAGGCCCGGCGTCTGCTGCGGTACCTCAGGTTCAGTCTGAGTGAAGACGAGGACGACGTCCTGCTGGAGACGTACCTGCAGAGCTGGGATCAACTCCTCAAGTAAACGACTTCACAGAGACACAAATCATCCACACAAGATGGAAAACTGTCCAATTAAAGGACAGAAAACTGTCCAATTAAAGGATGGAAAACTGTCCAATTAAAGGATGGAAAACTGTCCAATTAAAGGACGGAAAACTGTCCAATTAAAGGATGGAAAACTGTCCAATTAAAGGACGGAAAACTGTCCAATTAAAGGACAGAAAACTGTCCAATTAAAGGATGGAAAACTGTCCAATTAAAGGACAGAAAACTGTCCAATTAAAGGATGGAAAACTGTCCAATTAAAGGATGGAAAACTGTCCAATTAAAGGATGGAAAACTGTCCAATTAAAGGACAGAAAACTGTCCAATTAAAGGATGGAAAACTGTCCAATTAAAGGACAGAAAACTGTCCAATTAAAGGATGGAAAACTGTCCAATTAAAGGAAGGAAAACTGTCCAATTAAAGGACAGAAAACTGACCAATTAAAGGAAGGAAACCTGTCCAATTAAAGGACGGAAAACTGTCCAATTAAAGGATGGAAAACTGTCCAATTAAAGGACGGAAAACTGTTCAATTATTCAAGCGTCTTTATTTGTTCCAATAAAAGATGGAAAACTGTCCAATTAAAGGACGGAAAACTGTTCAATTATTCAAGCGTCTTTATTTGTTCCAATAAAAGAAGGAAAACTGTCCAATTAAAGGACAGAAAACTGTTCAATTATTCAAGCGTCTTTATTTGTTTCAATAAAAGAAGGAAAACTGTCCAATTAAAAGATGTAAAACTGTCCAATTAAAGGACAGAAAACTGTCCAATTAAAGGATGGAAATCTTTCCAATTAAAGGACGGAAAACTGACCAATTAAAGGACAGAAAACTGTCCAATTAAAGGACAGAAAACTGTCTAATTAAAGGACAGAAAACTGTCCAATTAAAGGACGGAAAACTGTCCAATTAAAGGACAGAAAACTCTTCAATTATTCAAGCGTCTTTATTTGTTCCAATAAAAGAAGGAAAAC